TTTTAAAATTTTTCAAATCAACTAGTTGAAAAGTTGTCAACTAGTTGATTTTTCAACTAACGATTTGGATCACTATCCAACATTTATCCAAATTTTGGTCAATATCCCAAAAAACTTTCGCCAAAATTTTGCAAGTCCCTGTGTGGGAATTACGATTTTGAACTTCATATAAGTAGTCAACTAGGTACGGTACACTGGAAATATATACCGGGCGTTAAAAAGTCACTATGCAGTTCCTCTTTTTTTTTAGTTACCTTATGTATAAATTATTATTATGATATTGATGAATATTTATACTACTACGAAAAGAAGTGACTGTTTAGTGACTTTTCTAACACACGGTATAGATATTAAATGAATAATTATAACTATAACAATCGCACCATGTGTAATTTATGGCTAATAAAAAAATGTTAAATGAACAATTGCTTCAATCTCAATGGCTTAAAGAAATGCAAACACACGGTCGACTCCCATTAAATGCAACTTGTTAAGTCTTTGAAAATTTTAATATAGAACAGAGTGGAATCTTGAAAGAAATTGTATTTAGCAAGAAAAAAATTTCGCATTGCTAAATATAGAAACAAAGAGCTTTAAAGTTGACGAATTTTTTACATTGGATTTAGAAGCCATGTAATTATAGAAAATTGACAATATTAAAAATATATTATCTCCTAATATATATCGCCATATGATGATCGAGACCTAGCAACTCATCTGTCAATCCATAATCCGATAGAATAACATCTATTGAATGCGTGTAATGATACTTATCAGCAACTAATTTTCGAAATAAAAATCAAAAAACGAGTATACATACTATTATCCTCTATATACTGAGGTTTGGCATATGGTACCGCTGGTATAATTGCAAATTTTACTTTCGAGAATTCTATCTCGCTCATTCCCAAGCGCAATCGAAGGCGCAACTTTGTCGTAGAGAAAAGCTCACACTAATTATATAATACATAAAATCATGGCATTCATAAATATAAGTAAACACATGAATAACATTTTAAAGATACTTACAGCTTTAAGAACAAATTTAAATGGAATTCCATGCGTGCGTAACGGTTCTTTAGTAAAATGAAATGCTTGAATAATTTTATCATTAGCTCTTAGTTCAATTTCATCTTGTGGTATTTCCTAAATATGAAACAAATTATTTTTCAAAAATAGAGATAATGTAATAAATATCAAAAAGTCACAAGAAAATGAAACAGGAAAGTAAGAACAAACCTCCGCGTATAACGTTAAATTCTCCTGTATTTTATCTACTGGATCATTGAAATTATATTCATTCTGAATTTTGCAATGTAAGACATCATATAATCTAATTCTATGAGTAGGTTTTGGTATTGCTAATTTTTGTACAATTACTTTAAGAAGTTCATTAATTGTAACTGTCTTTGGAAGACGAACATCAATCACCTTCTTTAAATAGGAAATAATAATAATGAATTGGATAATATATAAACTTAAATATTATATGATTTTCTTTTACCTTTTCCTTAATAGTTGTCCCAAGCCAGTGTACTTTAAAGTATACTTCAGTTTCTAATTCAATAATACTAATATCAAGCGTCTCATAATATAAAAAATTTTTTGAACTAGATAGATTGGTTGCTTGAAGCATTTCTAACAGTGTTTGCGTGGTTGTACTCTTAATAGTGGCTTTATATGCACCGGACGTTGGATGTGCCGTTGTAAACCGTAATTTCAAAGGATCCATGTTTAAAAAAATAGCAACGTGTCTAGTGATCTATAAAGAAACAAAATTAAATACATATTTGTTAAATAAATTATTAAATTAATACGAGACATTAGGGTGAGTATGACATTTCTATGAATTTCTATCTGAAACTTCACTATAAAACATCCTCATTTTACAATTCGTGATAGTGTGCAAACCAAATTATACGTACTTCTTCATATGTATATTTTTCATTTAAAATTAACTCAAATTCAGGTTCTTGTTTACGGTATTTATATTTTGGCTTAAATTGGACAACGATACGCATGGCTAATAACTTATAGAATGTAGGAATATCACAAATATGACCTGCAGTGGTATATACTTGTACTCTAAATTGAAGCAGAAATTTTCTTATAAAAAAAAAGAATTGAAACACGAGACAAGAAAAGGTTAATAAATAACTCACTCTTGGTTTGTTAAAGCTTTTTGGAAACAAATTATATCACCATTTTCTATCTCAGATTGTTGAAAAGTAAATTCGGGTTTCATATTCTCAATCATGCCTGGTTTTATTTCCTGTATTTTAATAAAATAAATAGATTATTATGATCAACCAAATACAATTAAACGTGTAAAATATATCATACTTCGTATATTCTCAAGTGTGTGTGTGATGGAAAATTCTTTTTCTCGCAAAGAATTGGAATAATATCGCCAATTTTATCAAATTTTCTAACATATAAATAACACACTCCTCTGTTTGCATAGGTATAAAAGATTAATTCTCATATTAAATGAATTAATTAATAATGTTTATAAACCACATACTCTAGAGATTGTGTATCGGGATTAAAGTATTTAAAGTTGGGATTAAAGTATTTAATGAAAACTAATATAGGAGAATTTTCTTCCATTGCCGGGAACCATGCCTATGTATCAAAGAAATAACAGTTGAAATGGTAAGAAAAGGCATGTTTAATCATATATATACAAATGTTATTGAATAA